GCGGGACGGGGGTAGTGCGAGGTTTGACCCGCTAAAACCCCCACGGCGGCCTAGGGCGCTGGCGATTACTGGGGGAGCCACGGGAACTCTTAACGAACACAACCGCGGCTCCCCCTCGCCTGGCCGGCCACCAGGATGGAATGGCGGTGGCCGGCCGCGTCCCGGGGGGTCGTCTCCTCTACCCCTGCATAGCTCGAGCCATTTCTCCTTAGATACGCTCCTCTGTCTTTCCTACAGATAATGAATAATAAATAAAATTGATGTTCCAGGTATTCGTCTACACCCCGCAAGCCTATCTGCGCATAAAGGAGCGTTTGAAGACACGTGGGGTAGCGAACTTCTCGAATCTCGAGTTAAGTAATTACTTCTCGCCGTGGTACGCCGAGCACATCGGCGTGATCCAAGCGGCGAGTGGAAACCGCACAGTTGAAGCATGGGCGGTGGAACGGCTCCGTAATCAATATTACATATTTTCACACGCCAGCTTATTGAAACTGCACGGAGACGCGATGCTGTTGAAGCAGCTCGACGAGCTTCTGGGCAACGAGGCACTGTTGCAGCTGCAGCTGCGAACGCTTGCTCCGATCTTCAACGACACACAGCGCCGCGAATGGTTCCTCGAGGTGATCGACAATTACTTTAAGTTATGGGAAGTGAATATGTGAGGACCTGTACCTAACGTGGGAAGAAACGATACGAGAGGAAACAGTCGGTGGCGGCTTCGTTCCACTCGCGTGATTTGATCCGCGCACGGAAGCACTACGCGTCCACGTGTTTGCGATACGGAGCAAACGGTGAAGGACGTGTCAATGACTTCCAGCGAGTACCGGTCATCTGCAGCTCGATGATGATCACAGCTCCGGATCGTCGGGAATCGAGATCCACTTCGAAAGTTCACTATCGTTTTCCGTCGAACGGATACTAGGATGTAGGAGAGAAACGGCCCAACTGTCGTGTTGTTATAAATAAGTATTTATTATTATAATCGATAATAGAAAACATTTTTATACAAACGTTTTAAATATATCACAAGCATTTTTCGCAAAAGTGTCTTGACTGAAAAATAAGCGACGTCTTGTTTCTTGAAGTTACTGTTATGTTCTAGAGAGTACATATTTGTTTTGCTTTCATTCGGTTATCCCGGAGGGTAATACGATAGACAAAGAAACAAGACCTCGCGATCTTTTTCTCTTTTTTGTGTTGAGTTTGACTATTCTTCTCGAGTTAGGTGAAGTTTGGTCGACGAACCAATTCATGTGAAAGTAAATATGTACGCGGAACGTGATTTGAGATTTACGAAGTCATGGACGTTTCTAGTAGAATTTAAACAAATCATTAAAAATACTGAGTACGAGTAAAGGGAATGTTAGCGTGTAATTCCCTTACATAGTCGAAATTGATTTGATTGGCACGATGAGATGACTGATGAATGAAACTTATATGGTTAAGTTAGTTTAATTGAAAATGAAATGTCATGTGTTAGACTACGTTGAACGTTTTTCTCGTCTCCCCTCGTACAACAAACTAGCTTCGATAAAAGTAGTGAGAGCACAAAATAAATTTGATAAGATGTTTTATACTGATAGCATTGAAGAGAACGTTATTTCGTGATTGAAAAGTGCACGAAAATCTATCGTGAAATCAGTATTTTTATATGTATAATTCAACTGTACTTTGTATAAATTATAATATAATCGACACTTAAAAGATGGGACCTGAGAACCTTACTTTATTGTTTTTGATAAAATCTTACAGATAAAATGATTTATTACCAAAAATAAAATGGCGCCATATTGCGAATAAAAGAATCATTCAAATGATATTTCGTGTAAAAGATTTCAGGTCCTTGAGATTTGTTCGCGAGTTAACATATCATAAACAAAACGTAACAATACTTACGTGATGTGAACTATCATGTAGAAAACAAACTATGTAAAACGTCTTTAAAAATTTAATTGTCTGCAACTTGAACGATATTTTCCAAAGCAAACGCTCAACAATACAAGTAAATATATTCCAATCCTCGACAATATTGACTGTGGTAAGATAATCTAATTCTATGAATGTAATAATACTTGAGTTTAAAATTCAAATGTCGTATCAGCCGTCGTCACTCATTCACATTGAAGTTACAGAAATAGCTGAGTGTCGACTGTGTCTCACTATTAATTTTTGAAAATTTGTGCTCAATCCGTCTTTTTAAAAGTATGGAATTTCGCAGAGGCTTGCTGCTCTCTACCTAGTTTTCTGCCATTGACAACCAATATAACTGGAGTTTCAACTCGTATAGACTTGAAATCGAAGTCCTGAAAAAAAAAAGAAACATAAGAATTACTTCTAACTTTAGTACCCCAACAATGTGTTCTTTTGTTACACCTACATTGTTAAGGTAAGAAAACTTTTGGTGGATAACAAAAGGTTCAGGAAGAGCCACAGAATCTCCTACAGTAACCCCACGACCCTTAGCCAGATTATATACTGTTACAGCTATACATGTTTTCTCCTCGTCAACAAGACAAAAAGCGCTGCAAAGTTGTGTATTTATTAATTAAGATAATAAATACTATTTCTTATTAATTACCTTTTTTCTTTAAACAATACAGAATACACTTACAAAGGTACGCAATCAGTATCTTGTATCCAACATACTACTTTACCGAATACCACCTTTTCTGGATTAACTCCAGCAGTTAAATCTTTCAGCATTGTTAATTCTAATTTCACAGTTTTTTGACCAGATGTGAAAGAGCCACCTTTGTATGGTCCCAAATGTTTAACATCCAATGCCTACAGTTAATCAGAAACCTATAAATATGTATATGTACCAAAGTCATACATTAAGCTTATTAAATTTTCTACAATTTTTTAAACAATGGAATGCACATAATGTATAGAATATATGAAAATCATAATTTTTTAAGAATTTTAGATACCCGTATCATTTGGTACAATCTCTTTGGTTTTACTCTTCCATTATTGTTTACTAAATTTTGTACATCTTTTAAATATTGTAATAATTCATCTCTTTTAGTGCGTGGCGTGTCCCATATTGGATCTAATAACATTGCTCTTTCAAATGACTTCAATGCTGCACAATACTCTTCTTGATATTTTAAAGCCTAATATAATTATTTATCTACATAAGTAAAAATTTTAATTTGTATGGAATATTTAAAGACTATAAAATACCCACCACTGCTTTATTATGAAATAAATGAGAATTACTTCCAGCTACAATATCTTTTTCCTGAAATTAAATTTTTTACACTGTTAAATGATACAATTGGAAAATTATGGATGCATTAGTGCATCAACTTACTGCTTGCAGGTAAGCTGAAATGCAACAACGTAACGTTGCAGGATTTTGTGCTACTGTAAAAAAGGAAGACAAATAGGCATTTCCTAAAATTGCCCAGGAAATACCATCTGTTGTGTCTAGACTAACTGCTTCTTTCGCATACTCCATTCCCTGTTGTATATTTTGTATTCGTTGCTCGGTATTAGAAACTGGTTCCTGTCTAAGAACCATAGATAGACTTCGTAAAGATACTTTATTTCTACCCTGCAAAATAGATTATTATCTTGTAATTCCAATGCATATGACTAAAAAATAAAAAAGTATATAATGTATGAATGTATTACATGGCGTAAAGCACCAACAAAACAATTTTTTGCTTGTTGAATATCATCATTCTTCCAATAACATTCACCTAATTCATTCCATGCTTCGATTAAATTAGGCTCTAACTTTACTGCTTTAGTTAATAGTTCTTCTGCTTGAGGTATAAAACATTCTGTAACATTTAAGGCCTTTCCTTTTAGATAGTAGTATCTTGCTCGTGACCCATCGATTTCATATCCTTTGCATTCGTCAAACTTATTTAATGTGTCTTTCATTTCTTTTTCTATGTCACCATTCTTTTTAATTGCTTCTTCGATAGGACGATTTTCAAAATAATGGTCTCGAAAAAAATATAGTGCATTTACTTTCTCCTATAACGATTCGAAGAAACATCATAAGATAGAATGAATGGATAAATTTTAATAAACAAATATTGAAATTAAATTTGTATGCATATACCGTCAGAGCAACAATGGGATCTTCTTTGACAACATTTGCGGATTGTGCTCCTGCGACCACTTTATCATCTATAATTGCGGACATTTTTTTATCTACTTTTGTAAAATGTTTATCACAGATATTGCATTGTGCGTCAAATACACATGAAATATATAATATTATACATAATTCTCAAATCACATATGAGTCAATGTGAAAGCAATGTAATCTATCATTCGCGAACTGTCAAAACTCCGAAATGACCGACGAGGTTATGCGATAAATTAATGCACCACTAACATAAGGTACCGTTCACAATACGATAATTGGAATCAATATTTATTCACTTGTTCAAGGGGTCATAACAATAAAATAATAAAATTGTTCAAGAAATACGTATTATTAATTATTATTATTAATTAATACGTATTATTAATTATACAAATTATGCAGGAACAACTATATAAACAAAATAATATGAAACTTGTTTAATTTACAAGTTTGTATAATATTAATGCTTCGTCTTATTTTTAATAAAGAAACATAAAATAATATATATTTTTAATAATTAACGTTTTGAATTATAGATTTAGAATAATACGTTTTTTTAATTTCTATGCAATTCTGAAAAATCAGTTTATAATACATCCCCGTTGAAACACTCTCACATCTATGCAGCACTCTCAGTAAGCTTCATCCACATGTGCAAATTGTGATTGACTAGATCGGAAACTTGATTAGAATCTTCAATATTCGTGTTTCCATCTCTTGTACACATGTAGAAGTCATTAGATCTTTTTCAAGAGCTCTTGAATATTTTTCTTTGTAACATTCTTTAAATAAACTACACTGCAAATCCATAGGAAATATATTCCCTAAATCCGTATCCTTTCGGCATCGTGCTCAATATTATTAATAGTTCACGAGTTTAAGCACCTCAGCAATATTGCAATGGTTTTACACACTGTTCAAGTTATTGACTGAATCGCGTATATTTCATTTAAATTCTGACAGTTCGACCACAGAATCAGAATAAATGTTGTATGTATATGTAACAAATAGATGAATTAAATGTAGAAATAAAGTTCTTCGTACCTTAATTTGTACTTTCGAATGTACTTAAAATTGTTAATTACGTTTCGATCGCGTCGTTCGCGTACAACTGTTTCTAGTTCTGGCCAATTCTCGTTGAACCGGGTATAGGGTCGGTAATTTAGAACCGTAGGAAGAAAACTGCGCCGCGTGCAACGTCTGTTACGAATTTGAAGTTTGTGCTTGATTCATAGATCATATTTTTCCCGCGCATGCGCACCGTGAACAGATACACTAGAAGCGCGTGGGAGTTTTGCATCCGACCGCGTACGCAGTCTGTGATTGAACTACGAGAACGCCACTGGCACGAACGGTTCCGAAATCTGCCGAGGACAACGCTGAGAACGGTTCTCCCACTGCCACCTGTCGAGAGCATCGAACGGGATCGACTAGTCCATCACGTACTCTGTGACCGAAGCTTGGCCAGGAGGCTACATCGTCTCGGGTTCGCCATTTTATGTGTTTGGCTCTGGGACTGGGACGGTGGGTGCGTGCGGTACAAACGTAGAGAGCGTATTCCGTTCGTTATCCGCAAGATGTTACCCAAATACTTCGCGCCCGACATGTACAAGTAACGACAGGTGTTGGAGTGAGTGATCGGGCAGCAAGGGTTCGGGCCGAGATGGTCTCGGAATAGTGAGCAGGCAGTGCGTGAGTGTGTTTTCCGTAAATTAAGTGCGACATTGGTTTTATTGCTGCTGCCGCCGTTTGTTAATACCTGTGCCATTCGTGATCACGTCTTTGGGTCAGGTCACAGACAGCCTCTGGATTCGTGACGACACCCTCTCGGCATCATCTAAAATGAGTTCTCGCAACATACCCTCAGACAAGGTGAGACTTGTCACTTCGGCTCTAACATGTCTACCGCACCCTTCCGCCCCCTCTTTCTCCTTTATCCTTCGCATCCACGCAAACCCGGGATCGTCGCGGGTTCGACACCGATACCGCGGCACTATTTTGTCCAGCCGCGCTTTTATTCACCGAGTCATGGCCACGAAACCGTCAATGCGTAAAATTTCGTCCCCGGATCAATGAGATGTCTCGTAACGCGTCGCTCGTATCCCCGTTTTTTCCCCCGATTAAACAACGGACGTGCACCCTCGCAATACCGTGATATTCGTATCTCCTCTTCTTTTTCCACTTGCTCTCTCCTTCTCTCTCTCTCTCTCTCTCTCTCTCTCTCTCTCTCTCTCTCTCTCTCTCTCTCTCTCTTTCTCTCTGTGTCTGTTCACATTGTCATCCCATTATCGTTGTACTTCCTCCGTGTCTATCACTCGCGCAACATTCGAAATATGCACCGAGGGATTCGGACTCAACAGTTTGACATTTAAACCTTGACAAGCGGATTAAAATCGCGCGCGCAATATAATTGTATGCTCAAACGATCGATCGAAAATTGCCGTTCGACTTTTACGGCTGCTGANTATGTATATGTAACAAATAGATGAATTAAATGTAGAAATAAAGTTCTTCGTACCTTAATTTGTACTTTCGAATGTACTTAAAATTGTTAATTACGTTTCGATCGCGTCGTTCGCGTACAACTGTTTCTAGTTCTGGCCAATTCTCGTTGAACCGGGTATAGGGTCGGTAATTTAGAACCGTAGGAAGAAAACTGCGCCGCGTGCAACGTCTGTTACGAATTTGAAGTTTGTGCTTGATTCATAGATCATATTTTTCCCGCGCATGCGCACCGTGAACAGATACACTAGAAGCGCGTGGGAGTTTTGCATCCGACCGCGTACGCAGTCTGTGATTGAACTACGAGAACGCCACTGGCACGAACGGTTCCGAAATCTGCCGAGGACAACGCTGAGAACGGTTCTCCCACTGCCACCTGTCGAGAGCATCGAACGGGATCGACTAGTCCATCACGTACTCTGTGACCGAAGCTTGGCCAGGAGGCTACATCGTCTCGGGTTCGCCATTTTATGTGTTTGGCTCTGGGACTGGGACGGTGGGTGCGTGCGGTACAAACGTAGAGAGCGTATTCCGTTCGTTATCCGCAAGATGTTACCCAAATACTTCGCGCCCGACATGTACAAGTAACGACAGGTGTTGGAGTGAGTGATCGGGCAGCAAGGGTTCGGGCCGAGATGGTCTCGGAATAGTGAGCAGGCAGTGCGTGAGTGTGTTTTCCGTAAATTAAGTGCGACATTGGTTTTATTGCTGCTGCCGCCGTTTGTTAATACCTGTGCCATTCGTGATCACGTCTTTGGGTCAGGTCACAGACAGCCTCTGGATTCGTGACGACACCCTCTCGGCATCATCTAAAATGAGTTCTCGCAACATACCCTCAGACAAGGTGAGACTTGTCACTTCGGCTCTAACATGTCTACCGCACCCTTCCGCCCCCTCTTTCTCCTTTATCCTTCGCATCCACGCAAACCCGGGATCGTCGCGGGTTCGACACCGATACCGCGGCACTATTTTGTCCAGCCGCGCTTTTATTCACCGAGTCATGGCCACGAAACCGTCAATGCGTAAAATTTCGTCCCCGGATCAATGAGATGTCTCGTAACGCGTCGCTCGTATCCCCGTTTTTTCCCCCGATTAAACAACGGACGTGCACCCTCGCAATACCGTGATATTCGTATCTCCTCTTCTTTTTCCACTTGCTCTCTCCTTCTCTCTCTCTCTCTCTCTCTCTCTCTCTCTCTCTCTCTCTCTCTCTCTCTCTCTCTCTCTCTTTCTCTCTGTGTCTGTTCACATTGTCATCCCATTATCGTTGTACTTCCTCCGTGTCTATCACTCGCGCAACATTCGAAATATGCACCGAGGGATTCGGACTCAACAGTTTGACATTTAAACCTTGACAAGCGGATTAAAATCGCGCGCGCAATATAATTGTATGCTCAAACGATCGATCGAAAATTGCCGTTCGACTTTTACGGCTGCTGAAGAATATTGAAAAGGCCATCGCGGTCAACATGATTTTTCATGCGATCTTCTCGCGGTCGTCGCGGTATTACCGCAAATTGGCGATCAGTGATCAACCTCCGTTTCATTAAATATTAACATATGTTGATCGACAGTCGCATACGTTTGATCGGGTTTCTGACGGGAAATAAATCGTTTACCAGTGTCCTGTGTTATTTTCATGGAACATGTACGTGTTAATGTAAATGGTGTTAATTGTCACTCCGGATTTCGAAGATCGTATAAAAACTATCGGGATTGCGTGATCATTGCAATATTATTTAAATCGGGCATTTTTGGAGATATCGCATAAAGGTCCGCGATCTAGTCAATGCTGCAAGAGGCTAATTAATCTCGATTTTGTGGGAGAGGCCTGCGCCAGCCGCCGGGTCGCATAACTTTTTCCCCCTGTTTTCATTAATTTCGCGTAAAGAGGACTCGTCGCATTTCGTTTTGTGCCCGGGCTCGCTCCTCTCGCTCGCGACTCTATGCGCGAATTAATTGTATCGCGAGCGTTCTCCACGCGCTTTAAGTCGGCCGGATGGCAGCAGAATTTTTACAAAGTCGCGACTCCTCCGCATAGTGCACTCCCTGCGGCCTCTCTAACGAGCCTGTTTAATTGGCACCAATCGCATTACGCGCGGAATATAAGAGCTTTGTGGGTTCGCCCTGCGTTACGTGTGCCCTGGACCCCCCACCTCCCCTCTCTTTGTCTCTTATCGATTCAGCTTTTGTTTCCCGTCTAAGTATTATTAAATCTGCGAACCAGACGGCGTTCGGACTAGAACTGGAAAAATTCAAATGCTCGAGCTGCTTGAATCTCGAACAGTTTCAATCCCGAATTATTCCAAATGTTCGGTTGTTGAGAAATTAATGGCCGGTTAATTGCAGAGATGCTTGAAATATTATTTCGAATAGCAAGCGGTCTATATTATTTTATATTGTATGCCCGCTTCTGAAAGTAAAAGATCTAACAACGTTGTTTTAGTTAGAGGATGCAGAAAATGTATTGTATTGTATTGTCATTTATTTTCTGATGCAAAATATTAATGTACCGGCGGTATCCGTTCCCTTGTTGTTACAAATAGTTCCTTACTTTCCGACAATTGTCGAATTGTTTTATACTGTCTATCGACAATACTCACTTTGGATAGGGCGAACAAAAATTCGTAGATGATGCAGTTTGCAAGATGCAATTCGAAGGATCATGAAGTAGAAAACTGACGAACATAAAGTAAAGAAATATGAAATAAAGTAGAGAACTTTTAATAATGCATTTCGTTATCCACGTATAAATAATCACGCTTATGAATTTTCTCTTTTATCTCTATGTTCATTATTAAGAAATATTCTGAACCCTGTTTGTAATCCTATATTAAAAAATTCTATTTTTCATATTTTGGACTTTCAGATTGTCAAATTAAGAACATTTTATATGCCGAAATTTTACTTCCTATTATCATTACTGCTTTATTTAGAAACTGTAAAATGACGACTACTAGCGTTTCAAATATTTTTCATATAAATTTTACTTAGCATCGATGTGATTATCTTTCTCTTTCGCACGTTGTCATAAATGTGTAAGACTTTTTTGCTCAGTCTATTAAAATTGATGCTCTCTTAACTCCAATTCCAATCGATCAAAATTATAATATTCAGCGGTTATTTGATTTAATCAGTTCCACAAGAATTGAAAAATCGGCGGAATCAACGAGCAGTTTGTAAAAATCCGAAGTATGTTATAATTCGCGTCATTACTCAAAGTTGTATGTTGTCATGTTTACAGAATTGAAAGCTTTGTGTTATGTTCGTCGTTCCCGCGAGGGAATTCATTTAACAAAACCTCGATGAAAAAAAAGAAGAGACTGCTTCAAACCAAACGACGATGGCAGATATTCGAAACCGATAAATTAAAACTAACTGCTCCGAAGCGGTTCGTAATGATAATATTCGAGTAGTTAGTGGTATACGGTACAATTGGACGATCGAACTCGATTTACAACTCTAGTTCGACCCCTCCGAATATGTGTAATGGCGCGGGGATAAAATAGATTGACCCGACCTATTCGCAGCTAGAAATATATCACGGCCATCCAAAATTCAGTGGCATTGATAGACCGTTAAATAGATGCAAATATTTGTGCACGAGGATTCGCGCCGATTATGCGCGCCTCTTCTTCGCTATTTTCGTTCAGCCTTCCTTTTGCGATTAATTGCTGCCGATATCGATTGCTCCTCGTTCACGCCGCATGAAGATTTATTATCGCGGGACTCGTCGGCCGCAAAATAAAGAGAAGACAGAATTGCCCGGGACATTGAATTGTCCCGTTATTTCGCCAGGGTCAATCTTTTCATTCTTTCCGCCCAAGGGTCGGCGAAGTTATTGACTATACATAGACTGCCATTGGCTCGTCATTTGCATGGAGACCTCATCAGGATCGCCGAAGATGGCCAATAGAATTCCTTAGCCGTTCAGAATCAATTACTTTCTCATTTCACAGTTATTCTAATGAAACTGCGCCTCTGATCTCGAATGCGTTCGTGATTCGGCTAATTAGTAACAGTTTTACTTTACTGTGTCATTTCCTACTTCTCTCGTGGGAAATTAACACGTATTAATCGTCTGTTACTCTCTTGATAATTAAAATTAACTAGACAGAATAATCCAGATGAACATAATCCATCAGTAATTATAGTAATACATACATCCGCCAGAAATACATATTTTATGAAATGTTAATATACTGCAAATTAATATTCCCATATGCACTACTAACGAATATGCTACTAAAACTTTTACACATCCAATTAACGTAAAGATAATAATCTTATAATGATACAATCAAACGATCTATAAATAATTAACCCTAAAGGATAATTATAAAAGATAGAAGAAAATGCATATATTTATTATTTGTAATAAACCATATGTTCCTGTTTTTAATAAAGCAGAAGCTGAAATTATTGAGCGAGAAACAGGAGTCACAACACGAGTTTTAATTGATCAATTATTTCATACAAATATTGTAATTCTAACGAACAAGATTAATATTGTCAGCAATATATTATCTAATATCGAAAACAAAAGTTAAAAAAGGTTAAGAAAAATTTCATGTGTAAAATGATATATAGCATCATGCTTCTGATCAAATGTTTCACGTTTGCCAAATTAAACGGCACCAAATTCTTTCATATCCTGAAAGGAATATATTTGACACTATCATGTTCTAATTCCATTTGCCGATGTTGATCGATCGTGTCTGTGGTGCTGAAAGTTATTTATCCTCGGAATAAGACTGTATCAGAAATATAACTGCGAAACTTTGGAACGCGTATACATATAACACGGTAGAGCTAAAATTAATTTTCTCGCGTGTTAGCAATGATTCTGCGATGATTATATAAAAGTTTACCGCGGTCACGATTATTCGGTTCGAAACGCGGTCGCGCTGTTATTCATTAAAAAAAAACAAAATCAAATATGTACCTGCGTTCCGGTACGCTGTCGGCGAGTTTTCAATTAAGAAATGTTTTCCGCGGAGAATTGCGGCCCCGAGGAGGTTAGTTTCGTTACAATTAATCGCGCAAATTGGAATTCACGGCGAGGTTACTATTCCGCTGGCGAGCATGACGCCGACTTTCTGCGACCGCCGATAGCTTCGATATTCTGTCGCCGACTTATTTAATCTTTCGCTAATATTATTTCGCGTACAGGAAAATATTAAATGTTTTCCATCGGTATCAACCCTCGGACGATAAGCTATTTTCATGGCGATACGTACAATTGATAATATTTGTGTCTGTTCCGAGCTTTATCAATTCTTCAACATATTTTCGAAAGTTGTTTCTTGCAGATTTATTTGTAGACCGATTTTCGTGCAAACGCTCATTTTCACACGCGATTTAACGGAAATTAGAATGGAAGGAAAATTTTCTTCCTCAACTGAAAGATTTACACATTGTGAAAATAAAGTGAAAATGCTATTAAAATTTGTTAACCGGTTAGCTGTTTTTAACGAGAATAATCGTCATGGTATAGTCGTGTTTTAAGATATTTTGAATATTCGGAAGCCAAGACGAAAGGAGACGAACAAATAATTGATATAAATAATTAGTATAAAAAACGTTGTGTACGGTGTGAACAAATTGTTGTTCTTCTCTTTAGGAGACACATTTTAGATGCACACTTTTCAAAGATGTCGGAACAGTTAACTGGTTGATTTAAAAATGTACACATTTTATAAATGCATAAAGATCCGCAGCCTTCTTATTAGCTTTTCTGTTGTTCCTAGTGTAACAGCGATTTATTTAGTTTGATTATCGAATATTGAGTAATTAAAGGACGATTCACGTTCTCTGTGTCAAAAATAGACCCAGATCCCACCG